CTCAGCCGCGGTGCTTCGGAGACCGGCCCTCTGCCGGCCCACCGCTCATTTGCATATAGTCGCGTCTTGGCCAATGAAGCCGCCCGAAATTGTTGGGGATTGAGCCAAGCCCAGGAACCCACCTGGTAGAAGGGGCAACGCCGGGACTGGCACCGGGGTTATGTACCCATTCCCCGGAGGGGAAAGACTGAGGCTGGAGGCCAGAGCCAAACAATAAGGGGCTATAAGTGAGGGGCTGCCTATTACCAAAAGCGTCCCGAGCTGCTCTGAGTCATTAAGAACAAACAAACACAATAAACCCAGGTGTGGAGGGTGAGAGCGGCCACAGGCAGGGGTCGGGCTTGGATTCTGGTGTCTCTGTCTAGGTTGCTTGAATGGGGCGCGCCCTGCCCTGGGCGCTGCTGTGGTTGCTGCTGCTACTGCAGGATCCGTGCAGCCTGGGATTGTCCTGCAACGTGTCCTCGGGGGACGTGGACTGGGCCACGGAGTTCACAGCCACATGCTTAAACTTCAGCGGCCGAGGCCTGAACATTCCCTGGAACAGGTCTCTGCAGGCCAGCAGCGTGCTCCTCCTCGACCTGTCTGGGAACAACCTTCGGGAGCTCCCGGGGTCCTTCTTTGCCCGCCTGGAAAAGCTGCAGATCCTGAATGTGACCAACAACCCTCTGGACCGCGTGGATGCGGAGCTGGCAGGACGCTGCGCCCTTGACTTGAAGGCTGACTGCCGCTGCAGCCTCGCCTCCTGGCACAAGGTCCGGCAGGACAACTGCTCGGACCAGCTGCCCCCGCAGTGCCTGGATGCCGGCACCTTCACCTGGCGCAATCTCTCCACCTTCCTGGAGGTCAGCTGCCCCCCTGGCCTGTCCTGGGCGGCCATTGGGGCCCTGGCAGCCGGTGGAAGCCTGCTCCTTGGGCTCATCATAGCTGGCTCATTGCTGGCCTGGAGATTCCGGTCACGCTGGTCACCCAGGAGCCAGAGCCAGGACAAGACTTGGGCTGCTCCCGATGGTCCCAGGCCCAGCTCAGGCTGGCAGCCGAAATACAGTAGCCGGAGCCTCAGCCTTCATCAACCAGAAGCCACCCCACCCAGACCCCCCACACCTGACTATGAGAATGTGTTCATAGGCCAGCCACCTGCCAAGGACCCGCCGGCCAAACACGGGTGAGTGACCCACACGCGTTTGCCTGTTAGACTCCGGAGCCAGATGGCCGGGGTTCAGATCCCAGCTCTGCCTCTCGCAGGCTGTGTGACCTCGAGCAATTAGGTTTTCCCCTTCCGGGTCTCAGTGCCTCATCTGTCAAATGGGGATAACAGCAACCCCACCTTATGGAGTTTGGGTAAGAATAAGTGAGCCCCTGTAGACAGGACAAACTTCCTTCATGACCTACAAACCCAGTTTCTGGCTGCCAAGGACAGGGAGAGAGGAGGCCAGTGCTCTAGGCAGAGTGGGGGCTCTGCGGTAGCGGTCAACAGCCTGGCTGCAGATTTCGTGTGACCCAGCGCTGCCCTGAACACTATTTCCGTCTTGTGGAATGGGGGCAGCCCTCCCTCCATCTCTTTTGGACACATGAGAGATGCTAAGAAAGACATCTGTGTCCATCTCCCCTATACAATGCCCCAACGTCTCTAGATCAGGCTGGGGTTAGATAGGTTCAGCTTTCCCAGGTTGGATGAGAAGTGGGTGGGCTTTCAGGGGGAGGCACCAGCGGAAACAAATGTCAGTGGGTGGGAGAGAACAGAGAAACTGCTGTCAATGGGTTTGGAGACAGCAAAACATTAGAGCTGAGGCCGAAGGGGCTGGGAGGATACAAGCAAGGAGGGACCAGGGTCCTGGCTGAGTCTGGATGGTGACACCCCGATTGGGGGGCGGGAGGCGGGCAGTGGGAGTCTATTGATGAGAAATGAGAGAATATGCAAAGCAGATGAAAACGCAGCTTAAAAGCAGAAGTGGTCTCCGGTAGGGATTTGAGGGAACTAGACTTGCTGAGGCAGCTTGTGCCCTGACGCTCCCTCTGCTTCCCTGTCACTAAGGGTTCACGGCCAGTCTCTTCCGAAAACATTTAGGATTGGATGCGTGGTTCCCACTCTGCATTTTACAGATGAGAAAGATGGGCTCTGGGAGGAAAGGGAATGACTTTCCCAAGGTCACACAGTGAGTCAGAAGCAGAGGAAGGAAACAAACTCTGACGCCCAGTCCTGTCCATCCCTGTACAACCATATATGTGTTTGGAGTAATTCATACTAAAGTGTGAATGAGTGATAGACACCACTTACCCAAAGTGGCCTTTGTTACAAGAGGAACCAGGTGGCATTAAGATGTTCTGAAGGAAGGAACGTTCTTCTCTGAGGGTCTTGCCTACCATAGCTAAACATTCCTCAGGAGCAAACTCCTCCCCAACTAATGTATGGATGCGGAAAGGGAGTCTCTGAGACTTATTTTTATTTTGTGGCCACAAAGTCTGCTGCTTCAGGGACCATGGACACATTTCCTATCTAGAAGGACAGACACTGGCTCCAGCCACGTATGTTTATGGGGCTGATGTGACCAGAGCTACCAAGTTTTTTGAGAAGAAACTGAAGGCTAAATTTTAATGTAAAAAAACAAGACGACCATCTCAACTTTAAGGAAGGAAAAAAAAATGCTACCGTGGTCCAAAGTCCTCTGACCTCAGTCTTCTGTGCTGAGTCCACAGAACCTTCCCTGACTCACTGACCCTGACTTCCTTTCCCCCGAGAAAGTTGCTAGGCTGGGAGAACAGTGCCCCTCACTTCAGTTTCTTCATTTGTAAATATGAGTCGACGGGGTCACTGAACTGCCTTTGCCTCTCAAAGCTGATGTGCCTCCCCTCTGAGTCCTCCTTCCTGTCTGTCTGTCCCCACAGGACTCACCCTTCAGAGGACAGTGACTTCTACATGAACTACGAGGACCTCCAACGGGCCTCCCAGCCTGTCTACGGCAACCTGCAGTTCCCGGGCCAGGCTCCCGAGGTCGAAGATGAGTACGTGATCACAGGGCACTGAGCCTGAACTCCAGCCTGCCCCACTCCAGGTGATTCGGGCCGTTCTGGATCCCCCCTGGCCTCAGTCTCCCAGCCTGAGGAATGGGGATAGGAAGAGCTGTCCTTGCAGCCCTCTCTCTGCCCAGCTCCTGCTCTGCTCTTCTGCCCCCTCGGCTGCTAGAAAGGGAAGAGGAGACTCCAACACAGACACAGCAGGTTCACAGAGTCAACTCCGTTGTCACCTTCCTCTCTGTGTGCAGATGGTGCTCAATAAACACTGCGGGGCTGGTGAGGCTGCTGGCTCAGAGGGAGCAGGTTCCTTTCAGTGACTTCCTGAGCTCTCAAGATTAGATCTCTGGAGACTCCTGAATTTCTCCCCAGCCCCTCCCCTCTGTCCCTCTCAGGTCCCCTCCCAGGTACCTGGCACCCAGACTCAGTCCCCAGGGCAGCCCACGCCAGCCCCCGAGGGATTTATGTAACTCATGAATCAGGACTGTGTCCTTCCCCTGCTCACACACCCTCTATGGCTCCCCATTGTCCCTGGGTCCTCAGTCTGGTATTTGAGGACGGTATGACCCAGCCTTGTCACCTCACTGCCTCTCCCATCCCTCTGCCCTTCTGGTCTGGGCCTCATCCCCACCTAACCACTCCCTTCTGAAGCTTTCATTTTCCTAAGCCATTTGCCCATGCCACTCCCTTTGCCCAGAATGCCACCCCTTCCTCTTTTTCTTACTCGTTAACACCCTAATAGTTGCAGAACTATGGCTGGGACTCCAGGGGGCATGAGTTCAAGTCCTAACTCTGCCACTAACTCCACGGTCTCGTTCCCCCCATCTGTGAAATGCAGTGTTAGAATTGGTCTCCGAGTCTGTGTTTTTTAAAAATATTTTTTAATGGATTTCAGAGAGGAAGAGGGAGGGATAGAAACATCAGCGATGAGAGGATCATTGATCGACTGACTCCTGCACAGGGTAGAGCCTGAAACCCAGGCATGTGCCCTGACCAGGAATCAACCATGACCCCCTAGTTCATAGGTCAATGCCCAACCACTGAGCCGCACTAGCTGGACTCTAAGTCTGTTTTAGCCCTAATATACTGATATCTTAACTCGTCCAGAAACAGGAGCACTGAGAGATGAGGAGATAGAGGGAAACTGGCCCAGAGAAATGGAGCTAGACAAGCATGGAGGCAGGGACGTCCCAGGCTGCCCTTGGAGGGTCACTAGCACCGTCCAATTGCCCGTCCGCTCCAAGAACGCCCTGCTGCCCATTCACTGACCCTTCCACTCCCCCCACCACCCAACGTCTTAGGTCCCCTGTGGGAACTGGGGCCAGGGAGGGGCAGGCTCTTCCCAAGGTCCCCAGATCACGCATCACAGGAGCCAGGTCACACAAATTCATTTTTATTACCACAGTTTAAATAAACGTACACCCTGCTGGATCAGCCCTCCCCAGCTCTCTGGTCCGCAGGCCAGTCACCCCAATAAATTAATAATAAATATCAACGTATAAAAACTTTGTTTTTGCCGGCAGGCCGCAGCCAGCAGTGGTTACAATGGTATGTTTCAGGTCCCACTAGCCCATTCCATTGGACAGGCTAGGGCTGAGGCCGCCTCCACTGCGCACGCCGTCGATGAAGGTCTAGGTCCGCTCACAAGCAGTGGCAGTCGCTGGCCACGAGGTCGTCGTAGGGCGTGAGGGCCACGCGGCCCTCGCTGTCCCGGTGCAGGAGCACCACGGGCTCGTAGCTGGCGGGCACGCAGCACGGCGCAGGGA